TGCATGACATGGGTGCACTTACCTACATGCAGGCAATACACGCATACACATAAAATAAAATAAATAAAAATATTTTAAGTTTAAAAAAAGAAATAAAAATCTATATACTCATAACAGGCAAAAAGGAGAAACCCACATGTCTACCAGTTGATGATGGTATAAACAAAATGTGGTCTGTCCATTTGATGCTCTCTCTTTCTCTCTCTCTCCCTTCTTCCTTTGTACCTCCTTCCCTTTCTTTTCCCCCAGCTCTCTCTCTCTCTCTCTCTCTCTGTGTCTCTATCTCTGTCTCATGTTTCTAGCCTCACTATGTGTCCCAGACTGGTCTGAAATTCACTATAGAACCCAGGCTGGCCCCAAATCCACAACCCTCCAGTTTCAGCCTCTAGAAAGCCAGGATAAAGAAGTGATGCATGGGGCTGGAAAGATGGTTCAGCTGGTAAGGAAGCTTGCTGCCAAGCCTACTGACCTGAGTTCAGTCCTTCCTGGAAGAGAACCAACTCCTGCAAGTTGTTTTCTAACCCCCATGTATGTGACATGCACACATACATACACACAAATAAATAAATGTAAAAATACATATAAAGAACTGATACATGGGGCTGAAGAGATAGCTCACTGGTTAAGAGCATTTGCTGCTCTTGCAAAGGATCCAAACTTGGTTCCCAGCAACCACGTGGCAGCTCACAATTGTATGAAATTCCAGTTCCAGGGGATCTGATGCCCTCTTTTAGCTTCCTCAAGCTCTTGCATGTATGTGATGCACATAAACTCATACCACATGCACATAAAACATTTTAAAAATGAGTAAAAATTTAAAAGCCCCAAGCTATAGGAGTAAAAAAAAGAACTGATACACGCTATAACATGAATGAACCTTGTCACCTAGGAAGCAGTAAAATGCCAATAGATATGATTCTATTCACATTGTATGATTCCATTCAGAAGGAAGACATCTGTTGAGACCAAAAACAAATCAATAGTTGCCTGTGACATGGGTACATTGAGGGGAATGGAGTTACTGCTAATGTCTACCGGGGTTTTTTGGTGGTCATGGGGTTATGAACATAATGAAAATTTGGTCATAGCAATGTTTGCATAGCATGTGCATATCCTAAAAACCACTGATTTATGTACTTTAAAAGATTTATCAGGGCTAGAGAGATGGCTCAGCACTTAAGAGGCCTCTGCTCTGCCAGAGGACCTGGTTTGGTTCCTAGCACCCACATGGTGGCTCACAACTATGATACAGCTGCACTTATATACATGCAGGCAGTACCCTCATACACATAAAAAATAATAAATAAGGCCAGATGTGGTGGCACACGCCTTTAATCCCAGCACTTGGGAGGCAGAGGCAGGCGGATCTTTGTGAGTTTGAGGCCAGCCTGGTCTACATAGTGAGTTCCAGGACAGCTGGGGCTACAAGGAAACCCTGTCTCAAAAATACTAAATAAATAAAAATAAAAATAAATAAAATACTAAAAAATAAAATAAATATGGCATATAAATTTGTTCTCAGTAAAATAATAAATATGGCATATAAATTAGTCTCAGCAAAATAATTTTGTGTTTGACCTTTGCTAAAGGGATAAGAAGTGGTATTACAATTGTTTTGCAAAAACCTCACAATTTCTGGGGAATACTGTTCTTCTTAGAGAAAATTATGTGATTTGAAATCTCATTTTCCTTCCCAGCAGCGATAATGTTGAGTGGATCCCCACAAAGGTGAACTGCACGAAGATCACAGCAACAAAGTGTGACTTCACCAGAGACGGCCCCCTAACAGGCTTCTCCCCACTTAGCACTGTTTTCCTACGTGTTCGAGCTGAGCAAGGAAATCGTACCTCTGCCTGGGTGATGATGCCTTCGTTTCAATACTACCGTAATGGTAAGAGAACTTAGGTATAAAATGTACTCTGTAGGTTAGAGGGATGGCTTAGGGGTTAAAAGTGCTGGTTGCTCTTGCAATGGACTGGAATTCGGTTCTCAGGACCCACATGGAGTGGCTCACAGTGCCTGTAACTCCGGGTCCAGAGAATCCAATACCCTCTTCTGGCCTCCTGGGACAATGGACACACACACACACACACACACACACACACACACACACACACACATTTTTAAATAAAATAAAATCTTTAAAAAGAAATGTATAAGCCAGGCGTGGTGGTGTACACCTTTAATCCCAGCACTCCGGAGGTAGAGGCAGTTGGATCTCTCTGAGTTCAAGGCCAGCCTGGTCTACCTATTCAGTTCCACGCCAGCTGGGGCTATAGGGAGACCCCATCTCAAAAAGACAAAAAAAGAAAAGAAAAGAAATGTATAATTGGGTGTGGGCCTTTAACCAGCACCCAGGAGGCAGAGGCAGATCTCTGTTGATTTAAGGTCAACCTGGTCTATATAGTGAGTTTCTAGCCAGCCAGGGCTATACAGTGAGACCTTGCCTTAAAAAAAAAAAAAAAAAAACTTTTTTGAGGGAGGGAGGAGATGCATACTGAAGTATTTGCAGATGAAAAGATGGGGCTATCTTGGGCTAGGGATGTAGCTCAGTTGGTGGAATACTTGCCAAGCATTCTTGAAGCCTGGGGTTCAGTTCCCAGCACCTCACAAACCAGGCATGGTGGCATGTGCTTGCAGTCCCATCACATAGGCAGAGGGAAGAGGATCAGAAGTTCAAGGTCGTCATTGGTTACACAGTCAGTCTGAGGTCAACCTGGGACTTTGTCTTAGGGAAAAAAAAATTTTTTTTTTTTTGTCTTTTTGAGACACGGTCTCCCTGTAGCACCAGCTGGCCTGGAACTCACTATGTAGACCAGGCTGGCCTGGAACTCACAGAGATCTCCGCCTGCCATTGCCTCCCGAGTGTGCCACCAAGCCTGGCCAATGTGCTGTCTTTAAGACACCTGTGATTTGTTCAAGACTGGAACAAGGACACAGTATATGAGCACTGAAATAAAAAGTAAAATAAAATGTAAAAGCCAGGTGTGGTGGCTGTAACCCCAGCACTTGGGAGGCCAAGGTAGGAGAATTGCTACAAGTTTGAAGCTAGTCTGGATTACAAAGTGAGTTAGTTTTAAAAAAAAAAAAAATCAAGGGCTAAAAAGATGGCTCAGCGGTTAAGAGCACTGGCTGTTCTTAGAGAGGACCTGGGTTCAGTTCCCAGAACCAACATGGTGGGTAACAAAGGTCTGTAACTCCAGTTCCAGGAGATCTGGTGCCCTCTTCTGAGAGGAAGGAGTAAGGAAGGCAGTGTGGGGGAAGAGGCAATATCACCTCTGGCTTCCATTTCTTCACTTTTCTTTCTATTTTTAGACAGGGTCATACATATTCCAAGCTGTCCTTCAACTCATTACATAGTACAGGATGACCCTTGAGCTTCTGATCATCCTGCATTCACCTCCCAAGTGCTGGCACTATAGGTGTTTACCACACTCAGTTTTGTGTAGCTCTGAGGACTGAGCTCAGAACTCCATACGTGCTAATTAAAGTCTCCCATCTTGTCGTGTGGCTAACCCAACCTGACTATTACATGGATCTGTGTGAACACATGAGCACAGTCCATGCTGTCAGAAAGCACTTTCACTGGCTACCCAGATTTACTATGGTGACTTATCTCAGTTATTATGTTGAAGCTCACAAGAACCTAGGAAGCAAACATTAGTAAATATAAACCAGACACACAGTGGCATGTACCTATCGTCCCAGCGACTCTGGAGTCTAAGGTGGGAGGATGGCTTGTGCCCAAGAGTTGAAGATCAGTCTGGACAACCTAATGAGACCTTGTTCAAAACAAAATCACTTTTTCTAAGTGGGTCAAATGTACTCAGTGGCTAGTCATGTATAATTCCTATTGCACTAATGGTCAGTGGAATTAAAAAGAAAGCCCAACTTTCACAATCACTGCCTCAAAGGGATAACAGGTTGGATTCTTTTGAAATGCAGGAATGGTTCTTGCTACTTCAATACCCAAAAGTTGAATTCACATAGCCACTACAGAAAAAAAAAAAAAAAAAAGTCTTGACAGAGTTTAAATCGAAAAAATTGGCTTCATATCCTCTCTAATGACTCACATGTCCTTTTGCCTACATTCCATCCTGCCTTATCACCTAACGTTACCCTCTCTTGGTCTCCTTTCTAAGTGTTATACTATACCCACACTCATAGATGTTCACATGTATACATTAAGGCTAAGGTCTGTATATGGGGGAGACCATGTTCTTTTTCTTTATTTGGGTCTCAGTATTATACTTTCCAGATCCATCCATTTTCCTGCAGATTTCAAATCTTATAAATCTTCACTCTGAATGAAAACTTGACCTTTGATTTACTTTCCCGTTTTGTTTCTATGGGACTCTGATGTCTGCCACGTTAGCCATCTGTAATTATTGTGTATGGTCAAATGACTCTCAACTGAGAAACAGCATCACAGCTGGGACCATAAACACCTGGCAGAAGGCCATATTCTTGAGATCCCAAATGCAGTGGTTCTTGTAATTGAGCATGTTTCTCCCAGGTGGTGACCAGGAAACAACTCCTATGGAATTGTTATAACAGATTCTGGCTCTGGGGACTGAAGAGATGGCTTAGCGGTTAAGAACACTGGCGGCACTTGCAAAGGACCCCAGTTCAGATCCCAACACCCACAGGGCGGGTAACTCCGTTCCAGGGGATCCAGTGCCCTCTTCTGACATCCTCGAGCATTGCACGACACGAGTGCACTTACATACATTCAGCCAATACACTCATACTCATAAAATAAAAATAATAAAGAAAATAATTTTAAAAAAAGATACTGGCTCTGGGGCCTTTCAGCTGGGAGAATTCTGCACCTCCCTGATATGGCCTTAATCTTGGTACTGAACTGTTTCTTGGAGGTAATGGACTTGTTCTGGGCCACAGGTGGACCCTTCCTTCTATTTGGAAATTGACTCTTGGATTTGTGTGCACTGGAGTACAGTCTCATTGCATGTATGTTCACACACTATGTATACATGTGTAAAGTTTATAATATACACGCAATATGCATATATACAATATACGTGAACAGTGCAAATTGTCTCTGTATATTTACATGAGGGTTTGTTTGTAATTCTATTTCAGTTACTGTCGGTCCTCCAAAAAACCTCTCAGTGACCCCAGGAGAAGGCTCCCTCATCATCCACTTCTCCCCACCCTTTGAGCACACCAGTGTTGCCATTTTTGAGTATCATGTCCGTTACTGGGAAAAAACAGGAATCCAACAGGTAAGAATGTTTTTCTTCTTTGTTTCAATTCTCTCTTCCTTAGAGTTTCTGATTTAGGAGAGGAAAACTTTCACATGGGCCTGGAGACCAGGGGCCCCCAGTGTCTACTGGAGCTTCAACCCTGGAGCCTGTTTTAAAACCTGTGTTGCTGTTCCCTGAGCCTTTTCAAAACCCAGCTTGCTACTTGCTGCCTCACTGCACTGAGCTCTCCCCCTGGCAGATGGATCTGAAGGGCCTCTCTTTGGTGTCACCCATGCCTGCCATCTGGGGTCTAGACTTTGCTAGTTCCTTTGATGTGTTTGCCATATCTGGACTTTGGGGAAGATCCTAGTTGCCTATTTCCATCCAAACCATTTATATAGTTAAGCCAGGCAGACTGCAGTAGATTTGGAATTTCATTTCAGTTCCTATCGGCCCTCAAGAAAACATCTGGGGTCTGGAGAGATGGCTCAGGGGTTAATAGCACTGGCTACTCTTGAAAAGGACCTGGGTTTGGTTCCTAGCACTCATATGGAGGCTAACAACCCTTCAGTTCCAAGGGATCCAGTGCCCTCTTCCAGCCTCCACTGGCATTACACACATGGGTGCACTTATATGCAGGCAAAACACTCTGATATATGGCCACAGTCTGCAAGGCTTATCTATGCAGATAGTTTGAATGGATTGCAAAGAGGCTCTATGTGACTAGATGGGGAAAGGAAGAGCGCATTCCAGGGAGCAGTCCCTGCAGGCACAAGAAAGCTTGGCACACAAGGGACATCTTGGGTACTTTGATCCATATAAGCCACCCAATAGGTGTGGCTGGCAGGAAGGCTGATGGGCATCAGAGCCCAGGGACGAGGTCAGCCCTGGACAACTGGGGTCTAGCTCTCGCCTATAAATTCTTATAGCCACTTTGACCAAAACTATAGAGGAATGAGCATATTTCTCTTCAAACCAGAAGCAGTTTGGGAATTAAAGGAACATGATTTCCTAGAACATCTCTCAGTTGACTAACTGAGATCTTGATCTCTAGGTTACATTAACCTTAAGATCAAGGTATTTATTTTATTTGTATATGTGTGCTATATGCATGTGTGTACAGGTTCTCATATCTATGCATGCTTGTGTGGAGGTCAGAGGTCACGTCCAGTGTCCTCCTCTATTGCTCACCATCTTGTTTTTTGAGACAGGGTCTCTCACTGAACCTAGAGCTCACCATTCAGCTAGGCTGGCTGGTTGGTGGGCCCTGGGGATTGACCTATCTTAACCCCCAGTGCTGGTATTATAGGCATATATCAGCATGTCCACATCTGTGAGGGGGGGTCTTTTTGAAACAGGCTCTCCCTGTAGCCCCAGCTGGCCTGGAACTATGTAGACCAGGCTGGCCTGAACTCACAGAGATCTACCTGCCTCTGTTTGCCAAGTGCTGGGACTTCAAGCGTGCACCACCATGCCCAGCACAAATGTCCAGATCTTTATGTGAGTGCTAAAGAGCTGAACTCAGGTCTTCATGCTTATATACGAAGAACTTTACCCATTGAGCTAGCTCCCTAGCCCAAGATGTTAATTTTAAAGAAGAAAATTTTATGATAGAAATTAAAATTTGTGGGGCAGGAGAGATGGCTCAGTGGTTAAGAGCATTTGACTGTTCTTGCAGAAGACCTGGATTCAAATCCTAGCACCCACATGGTGGCTAGCAGCTGTCTGTTACTCCAGTTCCAGGGGATCTGATGACCTCTTCTGTCTCTGCGGGCACTGCACAACATGGGTGCACTTACATACATGCAGGCAATATACTCATATACACAAAATAAAAATAAGTAAATCTAAAAAAAAGAAATTAAAATTTGTTAAAGTTTTTTTGTGTGAGTTGGAAGAATCACTGGAAAGCTAAACGTCTGTCCAAGTGGTTTACTTGTGTGGCTATGGTGTTGTTTGTATAGGTGAAAGGCCCTTTCCAGAGCAACTCCATTGTACTGGATAATTTGAAGCCATTCAGAGTGTACTGTTTACAAGTTGAAGCACAGCTAGTTGTGAAAAGCCAAGGTATCCATAAACCTGGGCATTTAAGCAACACATCTTGCCACGAAACAAGAGCAGATGGTAAGACGTACCTTCATTTATCCTTTATGTGCTGCACAAAAGAATGCTCCTGAAATAGAAAGGTGGAGGTGGCGGGTGGAGGCAGCAGAGGCCAGAGAGGTATGTTATTTAATGTAATTTATTTTTACGTTGCCATCTGCAGCAGTAAGGGCTGCCAGTCAGTCTCGCTGCCGTATACAGGACTGCCTTCACTAGGCTGAGTAGCCCCTCTCCAAAATGTTTGGGACCGGACGTATGTCAGCTTGGGATTTTTTTTTTTTTTTTAATTTCAGAATTTAGAGTATTTATATATACATCATGAGATACCTTGGGGATGAGATCCAGGAGTTTTACCTGTGAGCCATCACATAATGTTAGGTTCCACTTGTTGTATCCTGACAAAGTTTTGGATTTTGAGGCAGAATTTTTCAGATTTAGGATGCTCAGCCTGATTTCATGGATTTAAGCATTCACAGCTGGAGCAGAGTTGGGGAACCTGTCTATTTCACTAGGATATATGATTAAAGCAGTGGTAGATTTAGAATGAACTGACATTTGTATCTTGCTTACTTTTATGTCATCTTCTTAGCCTCCACCAAGTTGCAGCAAGTCTTCCTGATCTCCCTGGGCACCTTCTTAGTGCTGTTGATGCTGTCTGGGGCCTGTTTCTTCCTGTTCCTGAAATACCAAAGCCTGGTGAAATACTGGTTTCACACTCCACCAAGCATCCCGGTACAAATAGAAGAGGTAAGCACACACGTGTAAGCAAGCGACACATTGGCGACCACTGCCACCTCATCATCCTTAAGGCTGCCTGCACCAGTGGACAGAGCTATGAGCACAGAGAATTGAACTTAGAATGGTACAGCAAAGTCTGGGCAGGGTGGCACACACCTGTAATCCCAGCTACTTCAGAGGCTGAGAAGGGAGGTCTGTGAGTTCAAGCCAAGCTTGGGCTTCACAGCAGGTCCCTCATCTCAAAAAAAAGAACATGATACAGTTATTTAAAATAATCATTATGTGCCTCTCAGGTAGAACCACAGGCTGAGCCCTGGTCTGAGTCAGCTCTGTGGGGCATGAATCTAAGTTTTTGGTACACTTTCTTGGGAAAGTGTGAAAAACCTACCAGAGGTCACTGACATTACATGAGAATTATGAATCAGGTTTCACTTTGGTGTCTGGGGTTTCACAAGCTTTTATTCTTGGTTTTGTTTCACTTGTTTTTGTTCTGAGTCAGCCACAAGTCCACACTATTCAGTACCTTTTAGCATCGCTAGGAGCTTCAGGGAGGAGTTTCTCGGTAGCTTGGTAAGTTTATGGCTAAGAAGGAACAAAAGGAAAGTTCAGGGCTGTGAGCCATCTCCTCACAGTGAGGACCCCCTACCAGAGCTCCTGAGAGCCCTCAGGACTCTGCACATCTGTCCTGTGCAAACCTCCAGAAAGAGGGGCTGAGAACAAAGCTTGAGAACATTCCCTCCTTGACTCTGTTGTGACTGAATGAGAGGTCCCCTAAAGTTACTTTTTTTTAAATTTTTATTTATTTTTATTTTATATGTATGTGTGTATTGCCTGCATGTAGTAAGTGCACCAGTGTCGTGCAATGCCTACGGAGCTCAGAAGAGGCTGTCAGATCCCTTGGGACTGGAGTTACAGACAGTTGTTAGCTGCCACGTGGGTGCTGGGATTCGAACCTAGGTCTTCTTCAAGAACAACCAGTGTTCTTAACTGCTGAACCATCTCTCCAGCCATATAGTTATTTTTTAAAATTCTATTTTGGGTGAGGTAAGGTAGAGATCAGAGGACAACTTGAGCAAGTTTAGTCTCTCCTTCCACCATGTAGAACTCAGGCTTGGCAGGCAACAAGCACCTTTACTCACTGAGCCATCTCCCTACCCAAAAGTTGTATTTCTTCTGTGTGTAGAGATTAGTAATCCACAAAGCCTACATTGAGGAGAGAGCTCTATTTGCTTCCCCTGGATTCTGGCTCTTCAGGGTTCATTAGTTGAACATGGTTGGCCCTGGAGGTAGGTGTTTTGTTATCTTTTCTTTACAATGCTGGGAACGGAACCCAGGCTCTTGTACTTGTTAGACAAGCACTTTACCACTGAGCTACATCCCCAGCCCTGTCCTTGGATCCATGTTAATTACTACTGAGATGATGGGTGAAGTATGCAAGTATTAGAAGTAATTTCAGGGCTGGGCATGTGGCTCAGAAGAAAATTATGTGCTTAGCATGTGCCAGACCCTGGGCTTGGTCCCCAGTATGATAATAATAATTTCATTGGTGGATAAAGTTATGCCTAAATAAAAAATGACTATACCAACCAGATATAAAGTAAGACCTGGTGTGTGAAACTAATAAACTAATAATAGTTTTGGCTTTCAACCTTTCCTAGTATTTAAAGGACCCAGCTCAACCCATCTTGGAGGCTCTGGACAGAGGCAGTTCACCAAAGGATGACACCTGGGACTCTGTATCCATCATCTCCTTTCCAGAAAAGGAGCAAGAAAATATGCTTCAAACACTGTGAGCCAAGTCCCTGCTTGCCCCGGAGGACACTGAGCAAGGACACTGTTGATACTCTGCCTGGACTCCACAGAGACAAGTGCCTGACTTTTGCCTCAGGAAGACCTTTCAGTGCCCAGTGCCGGGGGTAGGGGGGGCGCAGATGGCATATTATTTCTTCATTAAGAAGTTTCTGACTCCAGACTGCAGGCTGGAAAGATGGCTCAGATGGCTCAGTGGTTAAGAACATTGGCTGCTCTTGCAGAGGACCCAAAGTTCAGGTCCCAGCACTCACTCGGCAGCTAACAACTGTCCGTAACTCCAGTTCCAGGGGGATCTGATGCTCTCTTCTGGCCACCATGGGCATTGCATGCAGGTGGTACACTTACATACATGCAGTCAAAACACTCATAAACATAAAAGAACATTTTCTTTGGGGGGGGGCGGTTCTTTTTGAGACAGGGTCTCCCTGTAGCTCCTCCTGGCCTGGAACTCACTATGTAGACCAGGCAGGCCTTGAACTCACAGAGATCTGCCTGCCTCTGCCTCCCAAGTGCTGGGACTACAGGCGTGTGCCACCAAACCCAGCACAGAACATTTCTTTCAAATTAAAAAAAAATTGTTTCTGACTCATACAAGTGTATAGGAGTATTTAGAAAAATATCTCAGAAAAATTAAGGTTTCTCTTAAACACTAAAAAGGCATATTATGGTTGGCTGGTAAGGCTTTGCAGACCTGCAGTGTTTTCCTTGTTGGTTGGCCCAGGCTTTAAAGAGACTGGGCCATTATCTTAACACTGGGAGATGAGCTGTCCCAGCCTGTCATAATGAGGGACCCTTAGTGGCCCCTTCATGTCCAATCAGGTGGCTTAAATGTGTGTCATGTTGGGCAGGGGACATACCTCAGGTTTGCCTAATGTGTCCAAGATCCTAGATTCCATCCTAGCACTGCACAAAAAAAAAAGGATGCTTAATCCTGTAAAAAAAGAGTTTCCTAGCCAGGCACGGTGGCGCACACAGGTGGATCTCTGTGAGTTCAAGGCCAGCCTGGTCTACATAGTGAGTTCCAGGACAGCCGGGGCTAAAAAACCAAAAAAAAAAAAAAAGTTTCCTAATAATTTAAGTCTTTTTTTTTAAAGCTAGAAATAAAAGATTATATATTGAATGTTAAAAAAAAAATCTGTGAATTGTTCCTCTTCTCACCCAGCCCTCCACCATCTTTGCTTTCTCCTGTTTTCTACAAAGTATTGACTCTTTTAACTGTTTATCTAAACAAGTTTTCTAAAGTGGCATCTGGCAGAGCTGATGAGGCCTCAGGAGAATGCAGCCAGAAGTTTCTGCTACTGTCACCCGAGTGACATTCTTCACAAAGTTATGAAGCTGTTTTCTGAAGCAACATTAGAGTTTGGTTCATGAGTCATGTGTTGACTGGGGCAGGGGCCGTGGGCAGTACAGGGAATTGGGCTAACAGCGGGGTTATCCATGAGCTCACAGTGATTTCAATATACCAGTCTTGCTACACATTTCAAACCCATTTAGATGGCTTGACATTTAGGAATGGAGCTATAGACAATTGCTCTCCCACACAGGGTGTGGCACAGGCCATGGCCAGGTCTGCTTTGAGAATTCCTGTAGATAGCCTTTTCCTGACAGTGGGAAAAAACCCCACAGGCTTAGGCTGATGAAACATCTAGCACTAGCTGGCAGAGCTACCTCGTCCTCTTTTGAACCCTATGCTTCTAGTAGGAAGTTCGCTGCCTTTCTGACCTGGCATCCAAAGGGGCAAGCATTAAAAGGCTTGGGATATGGCTCGGTGGTAGAGTGCTTGCCGAGCATGCCCAAGGCAAAAAAGACAAAGATAAAGGGATCACCCCATCACCCCCATGGCCCCTAAACCAAGGATGCTCTTCTTGTGAGGCAGCTAATCTATCTGTTAGGGGCAACTTAAATTGGCACCAGTTTGGAGGAAGAATTAGTACAGGGTATCAAAAAGACTTACTTTGGAATTTAAGACAGAAGAGCTTCCATGGGATGAGGCCCAGTGAGGAGTGGAGTAGAGGGTAGACATACAATTGTCCCTCAGCACCAGCTGGGGATTAGCTGTAAGACCCCATCCATTCTGATGTCTACAGGTGCCTGTCTCCTGTATAAAATGGAGTATTTACATATAATCTTTGTATAGCTTCCCATATTTTTTTTCATTGTGTTTGGTTTCTTGATTCAAGATTTTCCTGTTAGCCCATGCTTGCCTCAAACTTGGAATCCTTCGGAGGCCTCAGCCTCCGAAGTGCTGGGATTATAGGTATGTGCCACCATGCCCAGTGCCCTTTATGATTTAAAATTTAAATCATCTCTTGATTGCTTATAACTTAATTATGCTTTATTTTTTTGAGATGAGGTCTTCCTGTAACTGGCCTAAAACTCCCTATGTAGACCAGGTTGGCCTTCATCTCAGAAATCCGCCTGCCTCTGCCTCCCAAGTGCTGGGATTAAAGGCATGTGCCACTATGCCTGGCTGTTATGCTTTCTTTTTTTAACAAATAAGAAAAAAGTCTAGACATTTAGTATAGACCCTTTTTTTTTTTTTTTAAGATATTTTCAGTCCATGGTTGGTTGAATCCTAATCTTGAACCCATGGACATGGAGGGCAGACATTGTATCAGAAAAAAAGTTTGATCCCAGCGGGAAGGGACAGACTAGTTTTGTCAGAGAAGAAGCTCAACTTCTTACAGGGAACTTGTGCTGGCCTTAGGGACCCGATTCTCAAGAGGCTGAACTGGTTTCAGGATGGAATTGGTCTAGTGTCCTGAGGCATGAGGTGGCTATGGTTTGAGCCCAGAAAGAAAGAACCCTATTGGCTAAAGATAACTAAGCCAGTGAGAAACTTGGAACCTAAGCCCAGAGCAAATGCTGTTTCTAGAAGCCTTTTGGGGGAGGAGTTGGGGGGGGTGGAGCAGGGAGGACACTTAATGAGGAGGGAGCTGACCAAGGTTATTCTCAGGGAAGGTGCTAGCTGGACCCACTCATCCACTGAGAATTCAAACAGACCAGAAGCAGACAGGTTTTGTTTCCTTGCTTGCTTGTTTGTTTTTGAGACAGAGCCTCACTGTATAGACCAGGCTATCCTCAAATGCACAGAGGTCCTCCTACCTCTGCCTCCCAAATTCTGGGATTAAAGGCCTGTGCCACCACACCTGGCAGAAACAGGCAGTTTCACCATTCCAACTCAGCACATGCAGAGTAGGCAAGAAACTGGTGTGTTGAAAAGATAGGAACATTTTGAATAAGAGAGATAACCTCCCTTTAAAAAAACTTAAAATTTTCTCCCAAAGAAATACCTAGCTTTGCCTTATACAATAGATGACTAATCTAGTCAAGCTCAGTACATAATCTGAAATATCTGAGTGGGAAGCCATTTTACCAAGCATTTATAACAGCAGAATCTCTACTAGCCAAATCCACTCCCTGTCTCTCTACAGCCTGTGAGCTAACATCTTTTTTACAGCTCTAAATAGTTGAGGAGGAAAAACTTCAACACAAGAAAATTAGATGGAATTTGAGTGTACTGTGAAGTTTTTCTGAAACCCAATATGGTTAGTTTTTGTTGACTTGATACAAACTAGTCACATGGGAAAGGAATCCCAATGAGGGAACTGTCTCCCTCAGATCAGCCTTGCTGGGCAGGTGGGCCTGGGCTAAACAAGAGGGCTAGCTGAGCATGCCAGAGGAATCAAGCCAGTAAGCAGCCTTTCTCCCTGGTCTCTGCTTCAGTTCCTGCCTCCAGGCGGCTGCCTTGGCTTCCCTAGATGATGACTGTAACCTGTCAGCCAAATTAACCCTTTCCTCCTCAACTTGCTTTTGGTCATGGTATTTATCACAGCAACAAAGAAGCAAACTAGAGCAGAAATTGGTACCAGAGAGTGGGATATTGCTATGATGGGCCTGACCATGTCTGGGGGAGGATTGTGCAAGCATGTGAGGCTTTGAGCTGGAAAAGCCATTGAGTGCTCAGAGCTTAATGGGCTGTTCTGTGGTAGCTTGGAAATTGTGCTGACAGAAATGTAGACAATGGAAGCCTGGCTTATGAAGTTTCAGAGGGGAGCAAAGACCCTACCAGAGCTGTTCTTGGGATATTTTGAATAAAGAATCTGTGGTTTCTGGGAGCTGGGCTGAAGAATCAGCTGTGATTAACAAGAGACCAGAACCACTGAGGTAAACCTTTGCTTTACTAGGACAATGATGCTGGTTAGATGGGGCTGAAAAATCAGCTGTAACAAGAGACCAGCATCATTAAAGTGACATCTTCTGAGGATTATTTCCTGGGGGTCAGCACACATAAGCTGTGGTCCAGAGGTGGTTCAAGGCTCCAATTCAAGCTGAAAGTCAAACTTGATAATGTGTATGAATCTCCCACAATGATACTGGTTTTGGCAGCATGAGAGCTGCAGGACTGAAGGGGTCATGGAGAGAGGGTTAGAGTTCCTGAAGAACGTAGCAAGGCCATTGGTGGAGACCCTAGGATACTGGAAATGCCAGGACTGGGGGACATCAACCAATAAGAGCATCCAGAGTATTTGCCGAGGAGAGTAGCAGGTGTGGAATAGAACTGGCCTGAGCTTATAGGACAAGCAGTGTGTGCTGCAGACAGCAGAGTCAAAGTGGGATTGCCCAAGCTTTCTGGAGTCCAGAAGATCATGAGTGAGTCAGACGTCAGGCACTGAAATGCAAAGTACTGGTTCGTTTTTGTCAGACACTGAGCTACAAGATTTTGGAGCCACACTGGACTTTGGTTTTGTTATGATTGTTTTTATGTCCTGGCTCTTCTCTCTTGGAGTAAGAAATCATTTAACTTGTTTCTTATTTTATATGAACCCACAGTTAAGAGACTTTGGAATTTTTTAAAATATTTTATTAATTTTTTTATGTCTATGAGTGTACTGCCTGTATGTATGTAAGTGCACCCATGTTGTACAATGCCCACAGAGGTCAGAAGGGGGTGTTGGATTCCCTGGAACTGGAGTTACAGATGGTTGTTAGCTGCCATGTGGGTGTTGAGAACGAAACCTGGGTCCTCTGGAAGAACAGCCAATGCTCCCAACCACTGAGCCATCTCTCTAGCTCTAGTTGTTGGACTTTTTTAAAGACTGTGGGACTTTTATTAAGTTTGACTGTTTATATAGAGAGACATTAACACAAGATCTTGGAGATAAACAAAGAAAAGGTTGTGGTTTAATAGTGATGTTTGTATGTCTGGTTCACAAGGGGTCAATGGCTGGTTACTTTTATCAACTTGATACACGTTAGAGTCACATGGGAAGGAATCTCATTTGGAGA